TAGGGCATGGCATCCTGGTTTCCTACTGAAATAACTCAATTTCCAGGGGATCTGACACCCTTTTCTTATCTACATGGTCATTGTATGACATGGGTGCACTTACATTCAGGCAATACACCCATACAAAAAATAAACAAATAAATAATAAATATAATATTTTTAAAAGTAAAAATAAACAATATCTTGTTCCTTTCATGAGAAATCAGCTTTGAACATGAATCAAATGATCTGTACACGTCCACCATTAGGTTAAATCTGCTATCAGATATTAATAGATCTATTAAATAGAACAGCTCAACAGGAAATATTTGCATAATGAACATTTAACTGATTCAGGATAGCATTAAAATGTCTGTAAGCTATATATTTGTCCATAAACTGATGGAGGTGAGATAATGCTAGCGAACATCATCAGAACACATTTCATCAGATCTATGAACTTGATACCAGAGTTTTAAAAGATTGGAATTTTCTACTTGATTGCTAGAAAAAAAATACTCTATATAAACCAATAAAATAACTATGAGTTGGGGCTGGAAAGATGGCTCAGCAGTTAAGAACACTGACTGTTCTTGGAGAGGACCTGGGTTCGATTCCCAGCACCCACATGGTGGCTATGAACCGTCCTTAACTCCAGTTCCACAGGAATCCAAAGCCCTCTTCTGACATCCACAGCATTGCATGACACGGATGCACTCACATAAATACAGGCAATATACTCTTACATATAAAATAAAAATAATAAATAAAATATTAAAAAAAAAAACTATGAGTCAATGGATTGTTGTCAAAAAAACAATTTAAATTTCACCTAAGTGTAACTATTTAGTATGAAGGAAAGGTTTTAACATCATAAGAGCTTATTTCCTCTTTGAGCCGAAACAGATGAATTATACTCTGACAGTGATCTTAATTTCATTGTGCTAAAATATGTATCAATATGCGGCCATTTTTCCTCATTCATTTTTAGTAACTGCAGATGGTGATGGTTCATATGTAAATGGTTTCCAAGGAGAGATATTGGGGTAGACCTCTATTAATATGATCTTTAAGGGGAAAATTTTTATTACCCAGTGCACATTCTGACTTCTAAGTATATTGCACTGGTTTGGTTTTGGAAAGAATATTTAGACATAATTTATATAACAATTTTAATTGTAGTTTCGTTCCTCAACATAATAAAATGATCAACTATATGATTAAAACACATTTTTGTTCTACAGAAAAATCTGCGATATCCATTCATATTTAAATGCAGTATGAAGATAATATGTTTCCCTAGGAGGAATATTCATTTCATCAATGTTAAATGTTATTAACAAGCTTCAGAATCCCTTAGAGGATGTTGTTTAACATGTAATTATTTGAATCCCACTAATTCGCTAAACACATTATCTTGAGTTTGTTATGAGTTAATCTAAGCCAGTCTTCATACTTCCTCTTTGGGAAATAGCTTGTTAAGTTAATTAAGACATGTCAATAATGTTATAAGGGACTGTAGTTTTTACTATAGGAAATATGTTTAAAATACTATATTGGCAGCATTAACTCACACAACAATCCATAGAATGTTAATTATACTTCTATTTTGCCTATTTGTTTAAAAGTGATTTAATGGTTGTTAAAGTGTTTTTAATACTTTGGTAAAAAATTGCAAAGTTCATCCCAAAACTTATTTCAGTTTAGATTAAGATTTCCATAAACATATTCTGAATAATCAAAATTAAACACATTTACATAAAATGATTTATCCAGTCTGTAGGCACAATAGTATTATAGGAAATCTCTTCCTCCATCATTGTGAAGGAAATGTATAAAAACACATTTATTGTATATAGATATGACTTCATCTTCTTGTGGATAAGAGTTTTCAAAATCACAAGTCTTTTATTACTACAGCAATACCAATTTATGTGGAGAAGAGTGTTTTAGAGCAAATCATGTCAATAAGTTTCAGCTTAATTTTTTAAATTACTACCCAAATGACTGTCTATTAAATTATCATTGCCATATATTTTTACTCATAATGAATCAATTACAGATATATGAGGAAATATAAGAGAATTTTTATTGTCAAGAAACATTGTAATTAATATGCTAGATTTTTTTAACTTTGTAAATTTTGTTTTATGATTTCAGTGCTTTGGGTTTCATTTGTTTGTTTGGTTGGTTTTTATTTTTTTCCAATATTAGGGATCAAAGTCAGGGGTTTAGATATTATTAAAATTATAAACGATATAGTTAATAGAATAAAACGACAAGATACAGACAGAAAATATTATCAAAAGACA